GGGTGTGACCAAATACTCGAGGAAAATAATTTATTTTGAATTGAAAGAGCACCTCACATCATGTTGGATATGTGGATGAAACAAAATTTTGGGGATGCGAAAAGTCCAGGCGATTGCTCCAGGGGTGTGAAGGCGGAAGAAGGTTGGGAACCACTGTTTTAATTGATCATAACGGAATATAGTGAGAAAGTACCTCTGTACGAACATGGTAATTTAAACCACGAAAGACGAATATGTCATAATATGCAAGAATACATTATAATATTATAAGGATAAAGGGAAAGGGTCCACATCTATCCCTCTTCAACAGTTAGGAACTTCACAATGCAAGTTATTAGTTTATTAGTGATCTTTTATTATAATTTTATGTCAGTCTACCAGTGAAAACTGTCATGTTGTATTGGACATAATGTTAAGCTATTACGAACTTTACCTTATACCTTGACTGCAATGGCCCACTATTCTTGTATCACGGAAGTTTGTTAAGGCAGCGATTTGATTGAATTGTATGCTGCAGGAAACAGCCAATCAGAGGCCTAGACAGAATATCTACAAACAATATGGTTACAATCTTTCTGTCGAAGGCTCTAATTGAGTCGATGCACAAGCTTAAAATCCAAGAAAGGTGGCTATTGTCAAGGTATAAGACGAAGTTTGCAATAGCGTGACATTGTGAAGATGATTGGACAGCGGTATAAGTTAACAGCTGATGCGGCTTAATTTAGTACAGAGATGTCGAAAGGTGTCTGGGCGATTCCTGCCCATCCAGTCGTATAGTTACTATTCTACATTCCTTGACAATGTTTTAACACCTAGAGAAGATTGACTCATCACAGTACGTTATCTTCTTACTCTGAACCGTTCAGCTAGATTACACATCGTGTTGAAACAAGACGATTAACGACACCTTGGTTGACTAACCAGGCTTATCACACGTGCTCCCAACATCTCGAGGTCATTGGTCTCTTTCTTTCTGTTAAACCAGGAGTCTTCAACCTAGGGTTTCATTACTCCCACGAGCTTTGTGGCGCTATTTATTTATTCTTTCTTAATTCTCCAACATGGATAAGGTCTAAAGAGATTGTAAAGAGGTTTTCTGAATTTTTGTATGCGTGTCGGGGACACTGATAGCATCAATTTGCACCATTACAATGTTCAATCAGACGTCTGTGGTTCCTGCAAATCCACTAAAACTACGTGTTTTATGACGTCATTTATTTGCTTGTATCACATAAGTCCTTTGCGGGGGTGACGTCATATAACACTTAGTTTTAGTAGAATTGCTAGCAAATTGTTAACCAATCCAATTGCATGAAATTATATGGTTATCCATAATTTATGAATTATCAAGTTTTCAAACTTCAGTTTAGCTTGTATAACATTCCTCATCCCACACTATACCCAACATTCAGTACAATATGTTGACAAACTGTAGAGAGTTTGACAGATCTGTCAGGTTAACCAGTCATATTGAATTATTTCAGTTCGGAAAGGCTACTTATGATTTCTTTGACATCCATTCATCCAGTTAATTTTTTTGAACATGTGTATGGAATAGACTTCTCAGCCCACGACGATATAGAAGGTAGAATTTGGAGACGCTGTTGGCCTGTATGGACTTGAGGACAAGAGAGGAGCGGAATTGATCGATTGGCCGACCTATATCGTCATTACAACTAAACACCAAATTGCCCCTTCCCCACCCCTGAAGAATCAAGTCTGGATATGGACCTGAGAAGCTGTCATGTTTATCAATGAAAATGAAGCTATAATTTTTATCAAACAATGTTTTGGCCCAGATAGATCAGATTCCTCAGCCCACGCCACGTCGTATATAATGTACTATGTTGATAAACTGTCGGTAGAGTTTGAAGGAAATGTCATTCGGAGAGGATATATATGTTTTTAATCTGTATTAGAGTGTAGATTTTAAACTGAGGTCTTTATGTTGACTGACAGATTCTCGATACATCTCAATGAATATTTTTATCCCGAGGCAAATCACATTGTATTGGTGGAAATTTGAATTTTTTAATCGGCAGGTGCCCTGTAATAAATCAAAAGAGAGGCTTAGGTTGAATATTTTCGACCAAATGTTTCCTTTTTTAAAGCTATACTTTTTAAATGTGATTCTTGAAATGCAGATGTAAGTGGCTTCATGGACCAATATATGGATTATATTTGGAAATATTCACTGCAGTCAGTCTGGAAAGCGGGCTCAAGCTTCTGTTCCTAAAATTGATTTTATATTAAGGGAGATGGGCAAATGATAGCTGGAAGTGAGCTTTATCATTATGGGTAATATCAGAGCCAATATTAAGAGGACCATACCCCTTTAAATTTCCATCTTACTTTTTATGTTACCAATTAAGCTAGTTCAGCGATTACTTCTGTTTAAAAATCAATATATAACAGTAAAATTTTGACATAAAATTTCATTATAAAAGAATATGGGTGTTTCCCTTCACATAAACAGTTGATAAAAACTAAATAAAATATTATAAGGAATGGATTCTATTAAAACAATATATAAGTCTTAATTTGCCTAAAATAACTATTCATTTACTTTAATATTGTATCGACGTTTTACCTACTGTTTGCTCGTTATCGTGTGATTTCTTTATAACAAGTCGTTCGTTATTTTTTCAATTTTTCAAATTTCTGTTCTTTTATACTTTCCTCCCAGGTGATATTGAAGATTTCACAATTTTTGTGTTGTTTAAGGGACAAAAATAGAGCTATATAAGCCAGTTATCTAGTTTCAACAAGATTATTTAGTGAAAACAATCAGGGGCAAAAGCGGACCCAACAATAATAGAAATAGGTACCAATAAGTAAGTTTGCGACTTAGGAACTTAAGGATTGGTTTTTGTATGGTAATAAATCGTCCTGGCTGCTAGTATTAAAGTCTAGAACATCTCAATCTTAAAAGGTGCCATATTTTAAATTTCCAAGTGTCAAAAGATCAAAACAAAATTTTATAATCCCTGCCAAACTTTTCGTCAAAGTGCAGGTCATTTCGTCCAATTTAAAGTACGAAATGACCCCAGTTTATTTCATTCTGGCAATCCCATCTTCATAACTGCTATAAAAATTTGCATAATTTAACCACTTTACTGGTGTTGACGAGTTTTAACCTTTTTAATCTGATAAACATTACAGAAAATATATGCAAGGTCAACAAACGAACCAACACACACGAATGTAAATAACGAAATACGCAATAGTGGGAATATTTCTTTAATCAATTGTCATTCGATTAGACGAGGGAAACTAGTTAGTCACGTGAGTGAAACAATCCGTTCAAGGTCCTATGGCATATTAAATTAGTAAACTCTGGATTTGAAGAATTCCCCCCGTTGAACACTGTCATCATTATCATTGACTGGTAGGAGATAAATACATCTTCTGTTATTTAAAATACCGGAGTAATAAGCAAAAATATATACAGATCCCATTTATCAAAATGTTTGAGATAAAATGAAGATTTCAGAATAAAAGATACTTGTTTAAGAGTAGTTATACCCATTGTTTTCCTAATTTGTTCTGAACTTATTTAGGATGAATAAAATATGTTTTTTTTAAAATGGTCTATTACTCTGAATCAAACAAGGGCTTTGTATCTAGAATGTTATGTGAGATGGTGAGATAGATGTTTTAAAGTTAGGTTTTGAACAAGAATATAATTAGTTTTATATAGAGATGCCCTTACATCATAGCGATTACCAGTTGCATATGGTTGCGAATAATGTGGCTATGAGTTCAGAACTCAGTTGTATGAGAGTTGTGTTCGAAATTTATGATTGAAAATCTTATCCGCAACTGGTGCTCGCTATGATTATTGCCTTAAAGAGATTGAAAAGAAGATTTCTAAGTTTTTATGTGTATCGAGGACACTGATAGCATCAATTTTCACCATTCCAATTTTCATTCTGACATCTTTGTTTCCTGCAATTAAACTAAAACTTACGTGTTTATGACATCACTAGAGGGGAGCTACCAGAAGCTACTATTAATATCTATACAGTTCCCCTCTAGTGACGTCATAAACCGCGTTAGATCTAGTAAAATTGCAAGTATCAAAGGCGTCGGAATGAGAATTGGAAAGATGCAAATTGATGCTATCAGTTATGACTTTATGTTTCAATTACATGTATTACATCAGCTGGTCTTGTGGTATAAGCAGACATATCTTAGATAGTCTTGGATCAAACACCATCAGAATTTTATGTTGTTTTGACCTACCCGTTGCTTTTTCTGAAAAAAATTCACACACATAAATATAAGTTCTTTTGTAGCGATATACTATGTCACAGTTGAAGGTTTCTTACATTTTGAGAAAGGCACCCTTTAAGTATAAACAAGTCGTTTACATTAATGTATTATTAGTCCATCCATCAAGGTTTTAAAACGTCATGACTTTCATTCATTTACATAAAATACGGAAAAAATAATAAGTGCTTTGAAAGGTACAGAATGATTAGATCTTTACTCAATGTCTCTCTTGTTCTAGTTAATTGAATGACGAATCACTCCGCCCTAATTTTATTCTTACGTTTTGACAATCAATAAAGTTTTTTAATTAATTAAATACGTTTTCCTTCTGTATATAATAAACTGTTCCTTTTATATTTACCATTGTTTTCTGAAATACTCGTGTGTTGAAGACGGAAAGAAAATGAACAGTGAACAGTGAACAGTGGTCAATTCCTTAGACCACATTTTCAATTTGTGACATCGGGAATACTTGCTTAATTGTTTTTCAACATTGTGGTATTGGATATTCTGTATTATCATCTCCAGGCTTCGGTTTCATCAGGATACTGTTTTCATCACAAATATAAAAACACAGATCGTTCCAGATATGGTGGTAAAATTCTGATTACATGACATATTTATATAACAAAAAACCCATAGATATGTGTTAAAAATGATGTTAATGTTGAAAATCTGGCTAAACGAGCGAAGTTGAGTGTAGAGTACTGACTTAAAACTTCACCATGGAGCGTTGTGGAAGAGCAATTACAATGACCCATATCACCATCTCAAAACTATTAATAACACTACTACTATTAGGGTTTGTAGTTCACAATGTTTATGGACAATCTAATGGTTCTCAGTTATTTCACAGATCCAGATCGCGACATCCGGGTCACAGACGATCTAATCCTGTTAGTAGTCCTCGAACTCTACAGATGTTGACCAAGAGACCTGTGTTCAAGCCAACATTCCGTCCCATACAACAAACTATTAGACGAGTTATTCCAAATAGAGTAATTGTTCCCCGCCAATATACTCCATCAAAGACTATTACACCTCGTCACAGATTGCTAGTGAATACACCTGGTCGTAATGTGATGCATCATAAACAATATAAAGTGCCTAATCAATTAGCGAAATCCTTCAAACCAGTTACACCTCTAGTTAAACCTTCCATTAAACTCAGTTCTCCGTACCCTGTCAGCAGTAAGTAATCCTAGCAAAAGTGAAATGTGATATTCCATCATTCGTGCGTAAATTATAATCCATTAATTCAGCTATTTTCGTATATACAATATATATTATGTAAACTATCGAAAAAAAGATCAGGTATACCAGAAGATTGAGTATGCCCTGTCTCGCTTTGTATTGTTGTTTTTTCTTTGTGTTAGTAGAGTTATTTTCTAGTTAATATTTCCAAAGTTAAACATCATGGCTTATACTAATTATGTAATAAACGAAAACATTAATATACTTTCAGGAGCTAACTATATAGGAGAACTGCCCAATGAAATCGAGTTGTTAGTTGTTGTTGATTATGAAGCCTACTTGAGGTACGTAGTAATAAAAACCATACCGACTTATTCCTTGATACCACACAGATCGCCTGATATTTGGTCAACTTTCACTTAGAGATTCCATTTTGAGATTGGATTTCTTCCACATATCAGAGTCCATGACAAATATAATTCTCATTCTTATAGATCACATATAACAGTCTGTAGATTTCAGATATGAATTAACTGCCTTATGAGTATAGATGGTGTAGAAATATTTTACCCATGGATTACACACAACATAATATAATCTTCCTTTGAAATAAAGGTCAACTTTCCAATACATGATCCAAAGGCGTTTAATTAAAGACAGCGAAAGTCGGCCAAGAAGTCGGCAGCAAATATCATATAGCAAGAAACACAAACCAAAAGCAATTCCTTCATGGAGTAGCCAACTCGTATATAAAGATACTGGACATTTATTTCAGATGGTACGAGAGAGAAGGTATCAAATATCAGAATGGAAGAGATATTAAAACACAACAAGCTATCACCAAATATGTCACTTCATTAGTCCATGATGTAAGTAACGTTTTCTGTTTCATCGACTAGGATAAGTCTCCAATAGCCTCGACATTCACCATTTATTCCATTGTATGTTAAATGGCTGGTATTTTGTGTCATCGAAAAGGATAAGTCGTCTTTCATAACCTCGACATGCACTACCTATTCCATTGGATATGAAATTGCATGTATTCTGTGTCATCGACAAGAATCAGTCTTACATCACTTCGGCTCTTACTTGTATGTACTCAACATTAGCTATTCCATTATAGCATTTATACTGCAAATGACACACGTCTCACATTATCAACTTCATCACCGTCGTCTTCTCTGTGGCATATTCAGCATCAATTGAACCAAATCCAGTTCCATTCTCACAATCTGCTAGTTATTTAGACTTCATAGATTAGATATTGGTTTTGAGGAACTTCATTCATTGTTTTTTAACATTGTAGATGAACAATCTGTATCACTCGTTAGAAATGTTGGATTTAAAGATAGACATCACCCTGGTAGATATTCTTATAATACAGGTAAGATCCAACTCATTTATTTGATGTTCGACTTGGTTACTGCTCGGTTAACGTCAACAGTGACGTTTCTACGGAAGTGGAAGGTTGTTTCCTCCCTTTGACAAATCTGTGGTCACTATTCGGTGACTATTGAGTGCCACTGATGCAGTATATGACCACATAAAGAGTAATCTCTCGTTAGGTTAATTATTATGGAAACCAATTGCTTTGTCACCCTTAATGACTGAAAATTATTTCAACTAATTTTTTCCCTCAATTTCCAAGACTAGCTGTCCTAATTAGGGTTGTGTATCTCATGCAGGCATCGGAAGAATGAGACAAGCTATGGTCAATTGTTCTTTTTCATAGCGATATATTTCATCCATTCCTATTTTCTGTGATTACTTTTTCAGTCCAAAGAAGGGGGATATTGGTTAAGTAAATTATCGAAAAAAGGATTCCCAAGAAATATTGTCAACGCTGCTTCTTCATTGGCGTCTTTTTATAGATGGGTAAAAAAACACGAGAAGGTGTTGCCTCCACATGATCATGCTATGCTGCTAACAGGGTAAGTTGATATTTTGACATCAGGGTTCGAGTGAATCGTCGAAATGATTCGAGAACACTTTATGTTTTCTTACACTAGTACGTTTCATGTCCATTTCGATATCTTATTCTTACAAGACAGAGGATGGTTCGTTACATTTTGCTATTCTCGGCAGTTTCGGTATAAATACAGCTAAATCTACATCTGCAATAATTGGATCATGTCTCTTTGCTTCGAGGCTTAAAAAAAAACGCCCACGAAACAAACAAGACCACCTATTCAAAATATGAAAAAGAGCAGTCCTGGACATTACTGGATATCCTATGAGATGATGTCGGGTGCTCACATGGAGTCGTCAGCTGTGTACTGTAATATATTTGCTCCTTATATAGTTGTTTACGTCTAATTAAGGTTAGTTGTTTTTTTTCAGGTTTGATTTACAATCTGCCAACGAAGCACCGAATAAACTTACAACAGGTAAACAACAACTTTTTATTTTAGGATAACATGTTGTTTTATAAGAGTTGTACATCATTTGAGTTTTTCTTCGTGTCTTCTTAAATGATACCAAGAGTCATAGTGACCCAGAGGCGTGCTTCCAATTAACAATTAACTCTTAGGTTTTCTGCTACAAAGATCGAGTTCAAATTCCATATTCGGTTGCCTCTTGACAGTTTTGCCTTAACTGTTAAAAGAAGCTTATATAGCTCTCTATCACTTGGTACATGCCCAAGAGCAAGGAGATAGGGGTGCTGAAATCAGATGGGAATGCCGAGACCCTGTGTAATACAGAATGTATCTTTAAAGTTAGAAATCAGCAAAGACTAATAGAAGTAGCACAAAGTTATTTTCGTTATGGTTCTATATTTTTCTGCTATATTTCAGGCCACGCCTATCTAGGCACTATGTGTAAAAGGTCCTCGGTATCAGTGGTAGAGAATCAGTTTAACTTTGAGGATGTGGTTGCAGCAAGTCATGAACTGGCTCACAGGTAGGATTTAGACATCTATTCATACTGTTTCTATGTTCATCTTTTCATACTGCTTTCATGTTCATACTGTTTTATGTTCATACTACTTTTATGTTCATCTGTTCATTATGCTTTATGTTCATCTCTTCATTATTCTTTATGTTCATCTGTTCATTATGCTTTATGTTCATCTCTTCATTATTCTTTATGTTCATCTGTTCATTATGCTTTGAGCTCATCCTCTGCATCGTTGTACTCCACGCGAGCTTTCATCTTCATAATGTCAATCTATTACGGTCAGGTATTAAACTCACTTGGAATCTAAATATGCAGAAGCTGTATGAAAGGCATCTTCACAATGTCAAGCTACCGAATACAGCCAATCAGAGCCCTCGATAGAAAGACTGTAATCTTTATGGCTATTTTTGTTTACAGACTTTCTATCGAGTCTTCTGATTGACTATTTTTTCTATGGTATGATCCAGTCAAATCCCTGCATTTTCAAACTTCTGTGACACAAGAAAGTTGGCTATTGCAGTCAAGGTATAAAACGAAGTAATAATCTGATGTTGTGAAGATGCCTTCCATACTGCATCTGTATATTTGTACTGCCTGCGAGCTTGATATACCTTCATTTATCTGTGTCTGGAATAATGTCTTCTCGTTTCAACGTCCGGTCCATATTTCACCATTAACTAGTCGACTCACTCCCGGAAAAGTTTTCTAAAAAAAAACAGCTAGTAGGAAATAATGATGTTTATCATTCATAAACTGTAATCTTAACATAGATTCACAGTGTTTGAAATCATATTAATTCATCTTTCAGTCTGGGGTCTGAACATGATGGAGATGGTAATCCGTGTCCCGATACAGAAGGGTATATAATGGCACCAGTTATAGAAGTTAACGCTACTAATAGATGGTCGTTTTCTACCTGCTCACATCAATACATCCAGGATTTACTGGAGAAGTTAGATAGGTAGGTGTTACAATCACATGAACAACTACTAATGTCTGTTCGTTCAATCGTCCGGCCGCAAAAATATGCGGCAATCCTCGGCAGTTTCCGTGCTTGAATCAGAGCACTCTGCTAGCGGAATTTTTGCGGTATGTCGGTCAGCCGTTAAAAGAGCTCAAGTCGACACTGCTACTGCTCAAATCAGAGGGCGACTGGTGTATCTTAGGGAATATGGATATCGCTGGGTGTACTCTAGCGCATCCACAATTGAAAACACAGTGTCGAGCTTATTACTGTCGGCTAATATTTTTTGTTCTATCTTCTTAATATTCCATGTTTGTGTTTATTGTAGGGAAGAAAGGAACTGTCTCTCCACCAAAAATAATCTCGGCCACATGCCACAACTACATGACGCAGACGTTAAACTTGGCGCCCTTCTTTCTCCAGATCAGCAATGTGCTCTAATTGAAGGTCCTGGATCTTTTCTTTGTAGGGTAAGTACATTAAAACATGTTGTATGGATACATATATATATCGAGCATTATTGACCACGTGGGCTATGTAAATTGTATTTCTAGTACACAGGTACGCAGTACGCCGCATCGTAACTACAAAAGAACGTGCGTTCAACCAATGGTTCCATATTGTAACTTTTCCCATCTCTACCAGCCACAAGACATATTTGACGCGTGATATCCAAGCAATGTGTAATAACAAATCCTTCATGAAAATGTCTATGTCTTTCAGGATTTCTACCAAGAATACAACTACCATACATTATGTCGAGAAATGTGGTGTAACAATATCACATCACCTACACCGACCTGTAACACTTTCCTGGGATCAGATGGTTTCTCTTGTGGCAACCAGAAGGTTTGTATCACTTCGTTTCGTCTATTGTACATTGAACCAAGTTATCTTGCAAACAATCCGATGCTTGCTTCAAATCATTCAATTGTCGATTTATCTTGTGACAAGCGATAGCACAATGTTTCAATGAACATTACATGACAAAGCTAGATGAGATGGGATGGATTCCTCGAAATGGATCGAAATCCGATGTTTAAAAGATTGAAGATGTCCTTCTATGAGGCGTAGCTATTATAATCCTAGCCTTTGCTAAAGGTACTGGTCGTAGATCTTAACCTAATGGATCACAGGACTGTCACAATTTAAACTTGAAGCGATTTATAAACTTATAAACAGTTTAGTCTGCGTTTTGGTGTGGATATTAAGCTAACCGGTGTCTTTGAATATTTTCAGGTGTGTATCCAGGGTGAATGTGTTTTCCAACAAACAGCAAAAGTTGTTCCAGGTACGTTTCAAATTTTCCGTTTCATGTTTTCACAATCAGTGGTAAAATTGCCATAGTTGTTTTCTCTGGGTTGTACTCTGCCTGGACCTTATTTAGTCAACTAACTTGACTATGCACTTGAGAAAGGCTAGTGGTTTAACCCGTAAATTACCATCTTGAATGATCCAGGACGGATTGAACTCATTCTATGTCTATCTCGTTGGTTTTGTTGGTGTTTTGACGCATGGATTGCAGTTGGAATAGGTAATTCAGACTTTATTGATGTCATCATTTCCAGTGAATACAAGACCTGTATTTTATTGTTTTATATTCTAGATTTATGTCCCCTTGGTGATGAACCTGGAATAGTGTGGAATAACTACACTTGTCCTGAAATCGCCAAAAACGCACCAGAACAATGTTATGACGACGTTACCAGGATGAAATGCTGCTTGTCTTGTCAGAAAATCCATAATGGCGACCTAGGTAATGATCTTCTCAATGCATCACGTACTTTTTTTGGCTCCATTGGGGTTGGATAGTGGACAATGGCTTAACTACCACAGGTCCTCATCCCACAGATAAAAAGAGCAGGGCCCAAACCACTTAAGTAGTACACTAGCCTCCACTCATCTAGTTCAGTCGCCGATATCAAACATCACCTATTTGGACTCTCCGGAAAGGATCCCGAGATCACAAACTAGGGCCTGAAATGTTTGTCACTGTTTCTGTTGCTGTAGCCTATTCCCATTTCTCATGGACACGCCTGTGTTATTTTGTAAACACAATGTACTGAACCTGTGTATGTTTTATCGTAGAATGTCCTTACGGTGACAGAAGTTCGTGGTGTCGTACAGATTTAGAACTTCCGGTGGGCTGTTATTTAAACGAAGATCTCTGTTGTGCAACTTGTGCCAAAATAGAAAACAAAAACGAACCAGGTAAGCTGATATGATCCTATGTGAATTAAGCTCAAACGGTCAATGATCAAGGCAGGCGTATTGATAAGCTAGTCGGAATGCACCTATTGTTCACGTCACATTATTCCGTCGCTAGAAAGTGCAGCCATATGATTAGTTAAAACAGAGGTCAAGCAAAGGTTAACTGAAAGAAAAGTCAAGAAGGACAGTGTTAGACCTTACTGTAGTGGTTACGTACAAAGCTAATAAAACATTCGAAACTAAACTAATAAAATGCAAACGGATGTTAGGTCTAATTTTAATCAGATTGATCCAACTGTAGCTCTGCATGTGTGATGTAGAAATTAAGGCGCCATTATTCAGTTCATTTCCGTTTTAATTTCACTTTAAGTCCCACAACAAGATAAAAATAGACTGTCAACTATGTTCATATTTTTTTCATCTTGGCCCTGAATATCTGTGTTTTTTTTTTATCTAACTCAAAATACCCTTTTGTTTTCAAACGGTCTGTCGTGAAAGTTCTGATATAGGACTTTGCAATACATAGATTCAGCTTTACGGAAACTGCAGAGAATTGCCGAATGATATGTTATGTGGCATTTAATGCTAATCAATTTATCTTTCTTAGAATGTCCTTATGGAGATCGTAGTAAATGGTGTAATACCACATTATCTGTTCCTATCGGATGTTATGAGAACCAAGATCTCTGTTGTGAAACTTGTAAACAACACATCGACCATAATAATCCAGGTGAGGCAACAGGTTTTATACAAGTCGGTTCCTCAGGGTTCGAATTAAGTTTAATGGACATTGAGTTTATTTGATTCAATACCAAGCAATGGTTCACTATTGCCATAAGCTGTTGCCATAAACTGACTCTTTGCCGGATAACATAGCTATAAATACCAGACGCAATGATACTAGTCAATTTTTATCGATATCGCATCCGCTAGAAGCGAACGTTAACATGTCAAAGACCTACCTACCTTACTGGGTGGCATTTCTATGAATAATCAGATGGAAATGCCAGGAGGGATCCGCAGAATTGTTATGGAGGCTCACAGGCAATTTGTTCCTTACTAAAATGTGTCATTCTTGGTGGACATAAAAATCTTTGAGTAATAACACCTCGCTGTACTTAATCGTTAACATTGAGTTGTGTTTCTATACAGAATGTCCATATGGTGACAGAAGTACTTGGTGCTCAACGACTATGGAAGCCCCTTTTGGATGTTATAAAAACAATGAATTGTGCTGTGGAACTTGTGCTGAGTATCATCAGCCACAGAATATAGGTCAGTATCCAACATCAGACACCAATTAGTCATCAAAAGATCTGGTATCAGCAGGGTCTTTGCCCACAAACATGAGTCAAACATAAGTATTATAAGAGCGGAAAAACTCGACTTTCAGAACATTTGTTGATTTGTTCATAAATAACAACAGTTTGGTCTACTAGATATGGAAAGCATATAAACATTAAACTTTTATAAAAGCCTGCTGTGTTTGTATTTTGTGCTGTCTTGGGTTTTTATTTGCATATCAAAACCTTTCATGTATTTGTTGTCTTTAATTGCGAATTTGATGGAGATATTTTGGATCTCCCGTTGAGAATCTTACTAATTTGTAAACTTAATGAATCTCTCGGAAAGCGTTAATAAACCTTTCGACACAACAAGACTTTGAATTGTACTTCAGGATTGTTCTATTGTACAAGTTAGTATGTCATGTCAATTAAGCTTTAACTTGTACTTCTGTACAGAGCAAATGCCCTGAAACTACGGTGGTTCGTATACGACATCATTTATTTTTTCATTTTTGAATTAAAAAACAGGAATATTATTAATATGGAATTAATTTTCACCGGGATGGAAATTCAAGCTTTTAATTCAAAATCATGTTGATAATTATATTCCAGTTTTGTAATTCAAAATTAAAGAAAATAAATGATGTATACGAACCACCGTATGAAACGAACACGATTTTGTCGTCTTTAGTTTGATTAGGATAAGTAAATTTTGAATTTGTCCTCGTTCTAATTTGTTAATTTTATCTCCTCCCTCTAGGTTGTGAGTATGGGGATAAGAGTACATGGTGTGTTAATGAGATGAATGTACCTTCAGGATGTTATTTAAACAGTGATCTATGCTGTGGAACTTGTAATCAGCACTATAACTCCACCAATCTAGGTTTGTACCTCCTTTCTTTCCAACACCTCGTCCTTCAACCAATGACGTTTCTACGGAGAGGCCGAGAGTGGGAGGGGGGGGGGGGA